CCAAGGGCAGTCGGAGGCCAAACGCTCGCGCCCACCGCAACTTCTCAATCACCCACGGGATCATTGGGCCCCCTCCCCAAGGCTTCCGCGCAGAAGCACCCCAAACTTCATCAGCATAGCGAGTCCTCGACTCGCCCCGACGCGATGGCCCACAGCCGTCTCTCACAGCCCAGCGGCCTTGTCGCTGTGGCGGCCATCGATTGCAAGTCGTCGTAGGTAAAGAAGGGCCCGCCTTCCACCAGGGGCGGGGGCACGTCCTCCTCGCCCTCCACATCGAACGGCGGCCGCGCCACCACCCCGTGGCAGTGCGCAGGCCGGCTGCGGCTGGGGACGTCAGCCTCCAACGCGTCGCCGTCCCACACTCCATCGCACGGCCTGGCAGCTTCCGCGACCGCGACGCCCGCGCCCGCGCGCGGGGTGGCCGAGTCGGGCGGTGACTCGGTCAATTTCCGCGCGGGCGGGGCGCCGCCCTCAGCAGGCCTGCCGCGCGGCTCGAACCCGAGCCTGTCCAGCAGGCTGCGGACCGCCACGAACAGGCCCGTCTCGAATACTCTGTAAAGCGCCTCCCGGCTGCGCAGACGCGGGCGTCCAGCATCACCTCGCTTTGCAACTTCTTGTCGCCGTGCCCCTTCACGTCGTCCAGCTCGAACACGAGGGCCTCGGGCTCCTGCTGCTCGTCCCCTGCGCCGCCCCCCGACACGTGAGCCTCCAGCTCGATCAGCTTGGCGTCGTCGGCGAACACATCCTCGACGACCCCGCCCGCGCCATCGTCAGCGTGCGCAGTCGTTTCGGTCTCCGGGCTCGAGAAGCCCAACTCGGTCAGCAGCACCTCTGCCCGAGCCCACCCCGGCACGTACGGCTGGGCGCCTGGCCGCAGCGGCGTCCAGGACGAAGGCGGGCGAAAGGGCGCCGCATCGAGGCGCAGCCCAGGCGCCTGCCGCACTCCCAGCCAGCGCCCCTGGCCGCTGAGCTCCAGCGCGGGCTCCGCGACGCAGACCTCCACCTTGACGTCCGACGAGCGGTTCGTGCCTCGCCTTGTCGCCGTCGCCCTTGATCTCCATGCCCCAGCGCACGAAGTCCATGTCCACGTCCAGCGTCTTGGCCACCGCGCGCAGCGCATCGCCCAGGCGATGCATGTGGCAGCCAAGTGCGACGTCATCCCTGTGGTGCAGCAGCAGCGCCTCGCCGAGGCACACGAGGCGATCTTCCAGGGCCGCCGCCAGGGCCTGCGGGGGAGCCAACTCCGCCATAGCCTCAGTGGCTGCAGCCGCCGCCGCCGCCGTGTCTCCGTCCCGCGCCTGGGCACGCTCCCTTCGCAGCCTGCGCGCCAGCGTGGCCACCGAGCGCCGGGCCCAGGCCTGCCCACCCAGTGGCCCTGCTCCGAGCGCTGCCCCAGGGGGCGCCCGAGGGCCTCCAGCAGCCACCATGCTCGCACCGCCCGCAAGGGGGGTTCGAGCCAGGATTGAGCCAAAATGACTACAGATGATGATGATGATGATGATGATGATGATGATGATGATGATGATGATGATGATGATGATGATGATGATGATGATGATGATGATGATGATGATGATGATGATGATGATGATGATGATGATGATGATGATGATGATGATGATGATGATGATGATGATGATGATGATGATGATGATGATGATTATGATGATGATGATGCATGATGATGATGATGATGATGATGCATGATGAATGGATGAGATTATGATGCTGGTGCTGGTGATAATGCCGATGCTGATGGTGTTACCGATGATGGTGATTAGGATGATGATGATGATGATGATGATGATGATGATGATGATGATGATGATGATGATGATGATGATGATGATGATGGTGTTGATGATGAGATGTGATGATGATGATGATGATGATGATGATGATGATGATGATGATGATGGTGATGCTGATGATGATGCTGCTGATGATGCTGATGCTGATGATGATGATGATGATGAGATGTGATGATGATGATGGTGTGGTGGTGGGAGGCGGGAGGAGGGGCTGGAAGGAGTGAACGCGGGGCGCTGTCTTCTCAAAACGAGGACCCGACACCACAGGATGGTTGGGAAAAAAAGGCCTTCGCATTCAAGTCGAAGGGAAGCCCCTTCCCTTTTTCCCTTCACTGCCAGGCGGGGGGGAAGAGGGGGGGAGGGGGGGGGGCATCCTGGGTCAGGATAGCGCCCCCTGGGGTCTGGGCGGGTCCTGGAGGAAGTCGCAAGCGGGGCTCCCAGGGAAGGTCCCGCCTTCATGGTAGGTGGGAATAGCTTCTGAATGGGCTCGTGGGAGCACGCGAGGCGTCGAGAACACCGACTTGCCGTCGCTCGGACGTCTGTTCCCCGTGCATGTTGCGGCTTCGTGCGCGAATTGTTCGCAAGATGGTCCGGAATGCTCCTCGAGGGTCCTCGCCGAGGAAACATGCACGCGTCCAAGCGATGCCAAGCCGAAAAGAGCACTCGCCAGCACAGGCCCGAGCCTGGGCCCCAGAGAGGGCCTGTGGATGCCACGCCCGGGCCCGGTCGGTGGGCCTGCGCTGGCCTCCAGCTGGTGTGCAGCTGCCTTCTGTCAGGAAACTGGAGCTTTGCCCATTCACGTCAGTCGAGGAGGAGGAGGAGGAGGAGGAGGAGGAGGCGGAGGCGGAGGAGGCGAAGGCGGAGGCGGAGGCGGAGGAGGAGGCGGAGGAGGAGGAGGAGGAGGAGGGGGTGTAGAAACACGGGTAGATCCTTAGGTCGGGCAGGTCCTCCTACAGACCGATTTTGACAGAATAAATGTTCAAGCATAGTCAGAAGAGCACGAAGCATCGTACCCAGACTAATGTTTGACTACTCTGGAATATTCCTCCTGTAGAGGGACATGCCCGACTTAAGTTGACCCATACACGTCGGTCGAAAGATGTGGGTAGAAAGATGAAGTAGGAAGGCGGATAGAGTACACTGGGTCCAGGCCCTCCCAGAAGATAACACGAGACCATAAAATCATGCCGATTCTTGAGGTCGGAAAGGCGCTAGAAGTAGATAGGGATCTAGGAGTCAAAAAAATCCGCCGATCCTGTCAGCGTGTGGAAGAGGCTGTTCCGTTTGACTCGTCTTCGTCGACGTCGTCGTCGTCGTCGTCGTCGCCGTCGCCGGCGCCGCTCTCTCTCTCTCTCTCTTTCCCTGGGCCCGTCGCCGCCCTCCCCTTTTCCTGGGTCCTCCTCCTCAAGCGCGCCAGACAAAACAAAATTGAGCAACGTCGTACTTGAGTCGAAGGGAAGCCCCTTGTCTTTGATCCGGGGGGGGGTCCTGGAGGGATCACGGGGTAGTACTGGGGGTTCCCGGGGGGGGGGTCGCGGAAGGACCCCGGGTCAGAATACCACCCCCCTGGGGGGGGGCGGGACCCAAAAAAGTCCCAAGACGAGCAAAGAGTGTCCCAAGAGGCCCCCAAGACGGTCCAAAAGGACCCCGAATCTCCGAACGGTCAGTCCAAGACGTCTTGACTGCCTCCAGACGGCCCAAGAGGGCTGGAAGACGCCCCAAGAGGCCTCGAAGAGCACTCCCAAGAGAGCCCCAAGAGGCAAAATTCATTGATGTTCCTGATTTGTTTCAAGGATATGGGCGTTCTCGCCTTTCATCCTCCCGACGCTCCAAAACGATCGCCCCAAGAGGCCTCCAAGAGGGTTTCGAAACAGGCCAAAGAGGGCCCGAAGACGGCCCAAGACACCTGCAAGACGGCCCAAGGGGCCGCCAAGAGGGCTCCAAGAGGGTGCCCAAACAGGGGAACCAACCGGACATTTCGAGCCCTCGGACCCCACAGGCTCCCAGCCCAAGAGGCCCCCAAGAGGTCCCCAAGATGCCCCTAAGAGGGGCCACCGAGAGGCCCCCAGGAAGCCCCAAGAGGCTCCCAAGAGGCTCCCAAGAGGCCACCAAGATGCTCCCAAGGGGCCCCCAAAACTGCCCCCCAGAGGCCTCCGAGAGCGCTCCGAAGGGATCCTAAACAGAATCCCCGAGGACTCTGACCCACGTCAGCGTCGTCGTCGTCGTCGGCGTGTCGTCCCCCTTCAGGGTCGGCGGCATCGGCCGTAAGGCCTTCGTCATACCCATACCAGTGCACACGCACTCACCCCACGAGGGACCACAGCGTGTGCATGGATAACATCCTGGTCTCCAGAGCTCAAGTTCTAGGTCGGGCATGTCCTCCTACAGGCGGATTTTGGAAGACAGACTTTTAAAAAAGACATGGAAAAACGTCACAGGCTAAGTCTCCCATTATTCTTAAATACTCCTCCTGCAGAGGGACATGCCCGACGCAACCCAAGTTCTTACCCATGCTCTACCCCCTCTGGCGCCCAGAGTCGAAGGCAGCAGTCGGGGTATAGACGCGGTCTTGACCCCGTGCTAGGAGCGAAGCCCTGTCTGTTAGACAGAGCTTCGTCGTCAGCACGAGGGAAGTGGGCTCTGGCAGAGGCAGGTGCTGGACCCCGGTAGAGGCCTCCTAGATGAGGTCCGGGTAGGATGCGGTCGGAAGATCGCGCCGCATCGCCAATGCATCGGCGATGCAGCGCCAACGTCGGCGACGCATCGGCGACGCCGGCATGAAGAGAATCGGGCCCCGCGTCGAGCCGCGTCGTCGATGCATCGGCGAAACGGGGCGAACCTCCAACGCCATGTGCTCGGACCCCGGCTGGGAGGCCCATATTCCCTCGGTCCAGCGTTCCGTCCTGAGTCCTTTTGGCACGGTCCTGGGGCCGGGCCCCCAGAGCCCGAAAACGGCAAAAAAGCCTACGGGCCGCCATGTCCCTCAGGACCCAGGTCTCCTAGAAGGCGGGATGGACAAGCGCGCTCCACTACTCGAAAAGTAACTGCTCGCAAATGGCCGCGATCCGCATTAGGGGATTCACGATACAGTCCGCTCTTTTCGGACGGCTGTGAGTAGGCACTTTGCGAGTAGTGGAACGCGCTCGGTGACGAGAGCTCTGCGGATCCCGAGACGCGCGGCTGGACTACCGTCCACGCTGCTGGGGTCTAAGCGCGTGAGGCGGTCGAAGTGGCGCAGGGCACCGTCGAAGTCGTTCCTGGGCGGGAAGGCAGAGCGAGGCGGAGGCCCGGGCGCGAGGGAGGCGCGGCGGTGCGAGGGGCCGAGGAGAAGGGGGTGAGGGAGGGGAGGGAAGGTGGCGTCCTCCTCCTCCTCCTCCTCCTCCTCCTCCTCCTCCTCCACCTCCACCTCGTCCTCGTCATCGTCCTCGCTCCTCCTCCTCCTCCTCCTCCTCCGCCTCCGCCTCCTCCTCCGCCTCCTCCTCATTCTCCTCCTCCCTCCTCCTCCTCCTCCATCCCTCTCCTCCTCCTCCTCTCAAGCCCTCCTCCTCCTCCTCCTCCTCCTCCTCCTCCTCCTCCTCCTCTTATTATTAGTGGTATTACTATTACCAATAGCATTAATATTATTAGGAGCAGTATTGTTATTATCATGCTTAATCATAGAATCATAATTCTTGAAACCATTATTATATGTACTAATGTTGTTTGTATTATTATTAGTAGTATTATTCGCTTCCTGGCCATTCTTTTTATTACCATCACTATTATCATAAATATGATTACTCATACTACTCCTCTTCTTAATATTATCATTAATAGTATCATCGTTGTTACTAGTAATCGTTTTCTTCCTGTTATTACTAGTACCATGCTTCTGTTTATTCGTACTATTATTAATACTCCTCCTCCTCCTCCACCTCCACCTCCTCCCCTCCCTCTCCTCTCCTCTCCTCCTCCCCCCCTCCTCCTCCTCCTCCCCCTCCTCCCCCTCCTCCTCGGGAAGGTGGCGTCAATAGCACCATATGCGTATCCGCGCCCTCTTGGCCTCCGAGGCGCCATCCCGCGGCGACGCGGTCACACGGACACGTTCCGCGCGGGGCATCCGCGAAGAAAAG